TGAGGACCAACCTGGGAAGACACACCAACAAAGTCAGGCATATTCCAAAGTCTGTTACAAATTGGAATGCTTTTATAAGAAAGTTTAGGAGAAGGGAGAGAAACTCCTCATATCAGAGTTGTCTTTTTTCCATTGGTGAGTACATAATCATTGGCTACAGATGACAACATACAGGCTAAAATGTTTCACATACAAGACAGGAGAACCTCATGATTCAGAAACAAATCAGTGTCCTTGTCTATGTCATTAGATGATATGTTAATTAGTCTATGAACAAGGAATTCACTATATGATTTGAGGCACTCATTGTTCTCTGAGGAATAAGAAAGCAAAAAAGATTTGAGGGACTTATATGATTCTTTACTCAAGGACAAGATGTAAGCTGTGCATCATAAGACTGTCCCCAGAAAGTTAGAATACAGTTATACTTCAAGTCCGAGAGCAATGGCTCATGCCTGTAATCCCAGCAATCTGGGAGGCTGAGATGGGTGTATTGCTTGAGCTTGGGAGTATGAGACCAACCTGAGCAAGAGTGAGACCCTGTCTCTACTAAAAATAGAAAAATTAGCTGGGAATGGTGGCGCATGCCTATAGTCCCAGCTACTTGGGGGCGGGGTAGGGGTGGGCGGAAACAAGAGGATTTCTTGAGCCCATAGTTCATCCTTTAAATGTAGAGAGTGCACTACTTAACCTTTGCCAGACATGGCCTTTGGTCCTGTTCATAGGTTGGTTGGTCTCTTATTGCCACAAAAAGTTCATTCTGTCAGTCTTACAGTCTCTATTTTAATATTAATGCTGGCCAGTTGTTGTGTCCAAACTCTAAAAGAGAAGGGGTATAACTAGGTGTGTCTAATCTCCCATCCTGTCATGGTTGGGAACTCAGTTTTTAAGGTTACTCTGAGGGCTCTTGGCCAAGAGGGGTCTTTTTAATCAGAGGAACTGAGGCGTCTATTTTTAATTTACAGCAACAAAAGGAAAGCTAAGAGTTTTGGAAGACAGAGAATGGAGATCCAACAGCTGGACAGTTGGTGTTCCTGGGGAGGAGATCAGAATAAATGCCATCCAAGCAAGAGCATGTGATAGAAAATCTCTTTTCTGAGCTATTAATTGTAAGTAAATAAACAAATACCCTTTCCATCAGACAGAAAAAATGTATCCAGAGAAATTAAAAATACACACCAAAAGCACATTGTACCCCATGATTGCAGTAATGTACACAGCATGATTTAATAAACACAAAAACACAAAAGGAAGCAAGGAAGGAAGGGAGAAAAGGAAAGAGGATGAACTAACAAGACTATACTTCTAGATACGTCTGGCAAGACTTTTGATTTATAAATATAAAGGGAAAAAGAACCTGCAAGCATCCTGGCAGAAAAAAAAATTAGGTTACCCAGAAAGAAACAAAATTCTGCTGAGCCTCAACATCAAATTTCGGAATTCAATGGAATAAGATCCATAAAGGTGAAGTCTTCATACCCATAGATCTCACATCTTGCCAAGCTGCAATTCCAGTGTGAAGGCAACAAAGTAACATGTCTTGGCACATGAACCTGCCTCCTTCATGAACGCACATGAGTGAATGGCCCTATGTGACCAAGAATGAACTCAAGAGGGTGCAACTGCTCACCCTTTACAGCTCCTACATCTTGTGTTTTTACCCACTGTCTTCCTTCTCAGGATGAGAAACTGGACCTCAAGGTAGTTGCTCTGTGCCCAATCCGGGCTGAGGTCATAAAACTTACCTTTCTCTTCCACCCAATTGAATAGAACAGATCTCTGCTTGTGTATTGGCTATCTGGATTCTGGACTCCTGCCCCATTTCTTTTTCAATTCAAACAGCAGTTCCCACTTAGCCTCCTGTTCATTACCAACATACCTCTTTTAAAACAAGCTGAGCCCTATTAAAAAGAACATTGGCCATTCTGTGCCTCATTGATTAACTGCCCAATCCCATGCCAATAGCCAGGGAGGTGCCTTCAAGGACTTTCTGGAAACAAGAATGGCAGACACTCTAGGATGCTTCCTTAATACTCTTTCCCAATCACTTTCTTCTTAGTCTGCTTCTATTAGTCTATTTCAAAGGCCAGAAAGCTGACTACTTGATTTCCCAGTTTCCAAATGTGGCCACAAGACACATTTCTGGCCAATGAAATATAGCCAAAAGTTCTTCGAAATAAGGCAAGACCCAACAGAAAACAAAGTTTATTCTTCTTGTCAAAGATTTTATCCTCTTTGTCTTTCCCTCTCTTCCTGCCTGGAATATATGTAAGATGGTTGGAGATTTAGCAGCCACTATGTGATTATGAGGCAGTAAGTTGGAGAATAAAAGGCACAACGCTAAGCATGGTGACACAGAGAAAGAGCGGGTTCTACAGAAAGCAGCTGCATAACCCTGAGATGACCATGTCTGGATTTCCGGTCAGATTAAAAAAAATTCCTTAATTATTTAATATCACACTTTCATTTTCTGATACTTATAGCCAAATACATCGTGACTGATGAGAGAGGATAAAAGAAATTAAGCAATA